TCCGTCTCTTGACGGAAGACTACAGCAGGACACGAAACTTTCACTCGATCTGAAAATCTCTTTGGGACTGTGCGCGCGGAAGGACGCGGAAGGGCTGCGGAAGGCGTTGCTCCGCGGAAGGGCGCGGAAGCAACAACTACGTAAGCCGCCGTGCCAGAAGACTACGTTAGTCGAACCAGACTTTAATTTGGACCAGCTAATTACTGTCCTGTACTCTTCCGCGGTTCAGGTCTTCTTCCAGTGGAAGTCTTGTACCCTGGAACACATGTGGCCCGCAATTGCCGAGAGGAGTTAGCGTAATACGTCAAGAGAGGTTTATGCTCTTGCGGAAGGTTTCGCTTGCAAAACGGTCCGCGGAAGGGCACGCGGAAGGTACGACATGCAGCGACTCAGAAACGTGCCAACGCTGCGAAGCGCGGAAGGCTGCGGAAGCAGTGGCGGAAGGGTGGTGCGGAAGGGGCTTTTGCGTGCTTGGGATTGAAACAGAATAAAAAACACAGCTCACTTGGAAGTCCTCAACAGCTTGACACAACGCAAAATCCTGCAAATGGTAATTTCGCAATAGCTTGACGCAAGACAGGAGCCTCGAAATTGCACTCCCCCAATAGCATGGGGCAAAACAATACCCTACAACTTGGAAGTCCTCAATAGGCAAAACCCTGCAAGTTGTAATTTCCCAATAGCTTGAAACAAAGCAAGACCCTGCAAATTGTAACTCCCAATAGCTTGACACAAGACAGGAGATTCGAAATTGCACCCCCCACCCCCATAGCCTGCAAATTGCGATTCCCCAATAGCTTGACACAAGACAGGAGCCTCGAAATTAGAATCCCCCAATAGCTTGCGACAAAACGCCACCCGGCTAATTGCAATTCCCCAATAGTTTGATGCAAAACAGTAGCAAATGCTGCAATCCACAGTATTTGAAACCAAAGAGACCAAAGAGAAAGAGCCAACGTTAGCAATGAGAGCGGGGACCGCGAGAGTCAGCAAACAAAAACCCCTCCGCCCTTGTAAGTGTTCACGAGAGGGATGGTCTTTAGGACTTTTCACCCGATGCAGAGCGTTGTGCAGTCAACAGTGGATGCGCTGGCTGAAAGCACTCCAGCGCATCCAGCAGCTCCAAAACCCTGCTCCGTAAGTGGGAGCTTTGATTTGCTTTCAGTTTTCGATGTTCTTTGAAGGGTTCCTCGTCGTTGACTCCGTGACAGCCGAAAGCTGCACTGCTTCTGAAGAAGGATGGACATGTTAGGGACTTAGCTTTAGGGTTGCTTGAGACTCTTTGAGAAAACGACGCAGAACCCCCCAAATCCTGGACTAGACCCCCATCCTAGACCACAAACTGGCAGGAAGAATCTCGCCGCAGTGGCGGCTGCGTCGGAACTCGGAGATCCTGCTATGGCTTTGGAACTCCTTCGGAGTTGCGACCTGAACAGCAGTAATATGGGGGTCAAAGAATTACCAAGATCATGCCCTTCTAGTTCGCACAGTATAAAGACCCTGAAATATGCCGAGGGCTTGATGGGTTTGGGAAGCTTGTATTGTCGGGCTTATACGGCTTGTACTACACGGATTGGCAGCATCTGGCAGCGCTCAGTTTATCGGAGGTATTGCTTGATTTCGCAGTCTTAGTTGGCTGAAAAGAATGTAGCATGTTGAGTCAACAACATGTGGCATTGGGTGTAAGGAAATCGGATTGCGTGGCATGCACGGTTGACTTCTGTAAAGATCACATGTTGCCACCCGGACTCACGATGTTCGCCGAGGGAGTTTAGAGTGCAGGGATGGATGCAAGTATGTTCTGGCTCTTTCTTGAGGCCACATCTCGCCGAAGGAGACGTTGGGAGGGCGAAAGAAGCACGGCAACGGGTGCGTTCTGTGCAGCCGAACTAGGAGGTTCATCTAGCATTGCTAAGCCACTGCACCCCGATATGCGGCGCATATAGGAGCATTTGGCGGCATTGTGTTTCTGTCAGGCAACAGCGAAGGCGTCCCCTGTCCAAAACCCAAGCTGACCAAGCCTGGAGAGGATTGGACCAGTTTCACTCTGGACATTCTGATGACAGGTGTCCAGCAGCAGCTCAGAACCTCGCCAGCACAATTAGTCAAAAGGTCCAGTGCCAACCTTTACTATGCTTGACAAAAGTCGGTGTTGCATGTCTTGTCGAGGCCCTTCGAAGGAATGTAAATGCAGCATGTTCGTGGAGCTGCGTATCCTAGTTGCTCCAGCATCCTGTAAATTGCAGCCCCACCAGTACCTGTAAGTACGTAGGACTTCAAGAGACGCTGCCGAAGCTCAAAAGTGCCAGTGAGGAACTGCGGCGTTCACTGCCTTCTTCCATTGCTGAGACATTTCGGGGACGAGGCGTTTTGCGAATGCATTTGCATCCTCTCTGCAGTGGCAGTGGCAGTGGGTTGCTGTCGACGAAACCTCAATTCGCTAGAAACATTGAATGATACTGCACCTAAATCGAGCGAGCCAGCAGCTTCAACCACACCTTGACCCTCGGACAAACTTGGGTTATCAGGGGCCCGCGAGAAAGCCATCGGGATCCGCAGAGCTTGCTGCGTCTCGGGTTTGCTGCGTCTCGGGTTGTGGATTTGCAGTCTATAATATATTCTGCGTCAACACGATGCTGAGACCCTATCAATGGATAGGTGCACCTGTAGAGGGAAACAGACACAACAAGTCAGCGCTCGCCAGGTCGGGAGAGGCAGGAGACGCTTCTCCTCTTGGACTTCGTCGATGCTTGGAATAGCAAGTATTCCCAAGCAGTTCAAGGCACCAAATGCTCTAACTCGGATTGTCGCTAACACATTAACTTCAAAACCAGATGACTTGCAGCTGTCACGAGGATGCTGCCCTGAGACGGCTGGAAGGAGCCACGAGACAGAGCTCACCCCTCACGTAACTTGGATTCTTTAAGTTCCAAGCCATACATCCCGAAAGATCCACGGTGGGCCACTCCACAATTGTCATGTACCAGGGGGCAAAGCCTGTTTCTCTTGACTTGTTCACACCGTGCCGCAGCGCTGAATCAGAACCCAGAGCCCCAGATTGCTTAGCTCTAAACCTTTGGCCGAAGGCTCCGTTCTGGGTGGTCTGGCTCCGTACAAGTCCCGGCCGAGCTGGAGCTGTGCCTCCAAGAGGAGTTAGCCCTAGCGCAGTGTGCCAAGGAGCACGGGGGACGGGCAATGAGGGTGGAGATGTGTCTACTGATGTAGGGGTTTATACCACACTATGGGGTTCTTACGCTGGGAGTCCAGATGATGAGATAGCTGTTCCAGCCATCGCCTTCGAGGTTGCAGAGCCCAAGCTGAATCCCTCAGTCGAGCCAGCAGTTTGAAGGCTTGCTTCAGTGTGACAAGAGGTTTGAGAAGGGCATCTGAGGGGCTCTGCAAACTGAGGTTCCAATAATGCCCCCCCTCAAAATACAATTAAATAAATGACCCTCAGTCGCTGACGTCCGCCGACCATAGACGGCACAAAACCATAAGCCCAAGTCAGAAGCTGATCCTTCAAGATCACGCCCACATTGGGAGGCTGAAGATGCAAAAAAAGCATTCGAGATGCTCGAATGGTACATTCAGCAGGCTAGAGCGGCTCGTAACGCGAACTGTCAGTGGTCTGGATTTCGTTTCCTCTGCCCAAAACCAACAGCCCCAAACCGTTTGGGGTGTAGCATTTTGGGCTCAATACCCCTTAACTAAGGAATATACCTTCAATTATAGGGGCCTTCATATTATATGATCTAAGGTATATTACTTAATTAAGGTTTGGGTCCAAGTTCTGGGCTGAAGCTTAGCGACGGTTGAGGGTTGGGCAGTGACGGTCCATGGACCAGAGTTTAAAGTGTAGGTCAGCAGACTGGATTCTGCCTTCGGGATTTTTCAGGGAACCTAGAACAAGCATGCCCTAAAACCTTTCTTTTTCGATCCTGATCACCAGTTAAAAGTAGGGTCATGAATGGGTAGCTAGAACTTGTCTAGCTAGACGTAGCAAGAGCCCCAATTATGGCGCGTAGAGCCCTGCTTATAGCTACTGGGGCTTCTTCCAGCAGGGAACCCTGCCGTTCATGTACTTTTCTGAGCTCCCTAGCTTGCGGCATCTGCAGAAGAGCAAGAGATTTTGAGTGGTTGTTTAGTTGAGGGCGTACCCTACTTTTTAGTCTTGGGTCTGTGGGGAGTGAGGGCTTTCTTTTTTCGCTTTAGGGCTTCAGCTTTCGAGTTTAGCTTCCAGGATTTCGTGCACTGTGTTTGTTGTGTGTGGTTGCGCAGTTGGGCCTGCTAAATGACTAGCTGTAAACCGACCCCTGCCAGCCGGACCAATGCAGACAAATCCAAAGCCTCTACGTACGGTTCTCAAGCACAGGAAGGGTCTTGACAAGTCTTCGGAATGGCAATGTTGGAAGTCCATGGAAAATGCTTCAAGAGGGAGGCTCCCCAAAGTTGGAACGAGCATGGCGACGACTACCTGGTAATTGATTTCTTTGCCACTCTTCTTACGCCTGCTGCTGCTGCTGCTGCTGCTGCCGCTGTGGTGTTTGGTTCTTGCAACGAGCTTTTTGTCGTGCCCTGCCTCTGTCGGTCGCTTGGCCAGACCCCATTCCACGTCAAAGTCAACATCCTCCCTCAAGTGCACAGTGCGACCTGGAAGGTATCCAACGGAAGAATGACAGGAGAGCTTCTGAAAAGCTGCTACCAGGCGAAGCACCCAGTTAAACTAGTCGAGCTGCCTGGAGGTGCATTTGTTCGAAAAGAAGTTGAAACAATCGAGGGTCATGTTCTGCTTCCATGTCAGGCAGGAAGCAGACTGCAGCAAGTCCTATATGAAGAGCTCAATGCCATGCGAAAGCAACGCAATGCACGACCGGTCAAGGAAGGCAGTCTCACTCGTGCTGCTTGGCTGAGATGCAATGTCAGGGTATTGATGCTTCAAGCGCGGACGTCTTTCTCACGCTTTCGAGGTGGAACAAAAGTGCTTGCTGCTAGTTTCGCCAGACGACGGGCTTTAGCTTTGTTCGCCTTTCCATGAAGCTGCTGAAGTGGTGGGCCAACCGATGTCTTTCTCGCAGGGGTCCGTCTTTCATGCCTGTGTTTTGTAATATTTTGTCAGATCATGCTTTTTCATATCATTAAAAATTAAACATTGAGTGTGTTATTAGATTCAACTTATGTTCGTCGATTTTCCTGGTAGCCTCCGGACTGTCTTCAGCTTGGCTCCCGCACTGATTGCTTTTCGTTGCTTGAAGGCATTCCTATGTTTCAGGTCCTTGCAAAAGGCCATCGTCTCTCTCTGCATGCTGGCGCTGTTGAGGTGGGGTGGAGTGCTGCAAATTTGTGAGTAGCTTCAACAAAGTAAAGTAGCTGAGTCCAAAGCAGGCATTGCACACATGCACTTGGCATCAGTACACCTCTTCCCAGCCCTGGAAGCTATCTCGCCTCCTTCGCAAACGGTCGAGGAACCGAGCACTTCTGAAGCTTTCGCTAAGGTCCTTGTTGTCGAATCCCTAACCAGACTTTTAAGATGGTGGGAGGCGCTTCCTGGCTTCTCCTGTGCCTCGTACCTCACGGACGAGAAAACTGCCATTCTGCACGACTTGGAGGCCGGGCAACTGATAGACTCCATTGGACTTGTGTTTTGAAGATGTTAAGGATACGTGCCTTTGGAGGGTGCATCGTTTTCTGTTAACCTTCTTGCAAGTGTCAGGCTGCAGATCACAGGGGTCTTTGGATCGACTCTGGCTGTACATGAAACCCTCCTCAACTTGGGCATGCCAATTCCCAGCTTTGACCTCCAGGAGCGCCAGCTGGCCGTGTTGGAGAGCTTTCAGCGGCTTTGTAGCTAGGCCACATCGACGGTTGCTGCCACAACACGGGTCTTGCATGGCTAATTCGCAGATGTACACCTACTGGTTTAGCCCTAAGCCTCAGGCAGTGAAGAAACGGCCCATCGTGCTGCATGCTTTGCGGATATCCACCAGCAGTTTCCCACGGAAGATGCTAGGAGTCATAGTCACAACAAGGTTACAGTACTCTCAGCAATGTATAGTGTCACATGGTACTGCAGGTAGAAACTCACTGCGTTGTTGCATCCCAGGCGCGGGCGACAAGAAAATTGCTCGGGCGGCTCCGTCATTGTGGCTTCGTGCCTGGAAGCCAGAGGATCGTGCTGCAGATGCAATCATTGTGTCAGGCCATATGGTTTTCTTAAATACGTACTTATACCAAATATAGGTATCAATACACACATATATGTAGATGTATATGTGTATATATATATGTGTATATATATATACATATATGTATACATGCACACACATACAAATGTAGATATAGATACCAATTTAAATATAACTATATCTATAAATATTCAATGTAAATAAGCAAATCTCTCCCTCCCTCGTATACATAACATAAACACACCATATACACACATGCACATACAGATACAATATCGTGCGTGTGCTTTTATATATATATATATGGTTGTGCGCTGTGCGTT